TTTCAGCTTGCTAGCTAGTCGGGAAGTGAGCAAAATTTGAGTTGCAAAATTTGATCCGGACAAACAAACGGACAAGAAAGCGAGTTAATAAAAACGTGTTCAAAAAAAAAAAACCTGCTTGGGTAAGTGATGCTTTAATTTTAATATGGTATATTAATGCTGGGTTTCATGAACACATTTTCATGCATCTAGAATAGAAAATTTTCAGCCCCTTTGGACTACAACTTCAGAATGTTCCAAGAATTCTTGGCAATGACCATCACCGAGAAAAATTGCGAAGTACAATAATGAGTACTCGAATTCACATGTTATATGAAGAAAGGTGTTGCAAAATACAGTTTATCAGGTCTCTGGAATCCCCGCGTGTTTTTCTTGTGTATTAAAGTTTTCTTTTTTAGAGAGAAAAGTGAATACAGGAAGTCAGTGCTTCAGCTTTCGACTTTGAATTATTCTTCTTGGAAAGAGGGAGAAAAATTGTCCTGCTATTGCTCATTGCAAGCGGTCGTAAATTTCTCTACTTGGCAAGTAAACAGCTGGGCAATAACCCAAGAAAATGGGTGTTTTGTTCATGTTACACACCCACTTTATGATACCCTGGGGGAATAACAGAGTGAGGTAATTTTCTCGGTTCTCGCGTCTGAGTCACTTCTGAAGTTCTGAGAGGCCAAAAAAAAAAAAATTTTGTCACTTACATAGCTTGAAGGAAAATGTTGTTTTCTTGCTCTTTTAATTATAGGTAAATTTGTCGCACTTTCTGAGCAAAAATCAATTTAATCAGGGTATTTATTTGCTCGAAGTTGGCCTGGAAGATGTTTAATCAATTAATGGTGGGTGGAATCATTGAGAGGACTGAAAGTTTGCGTGAAGGCCGTTGAGATTTATTATGCCCTTTGTTGACATTCACTGAGGTTCTTTCGGCAATTGTTCAGGCGGCAAATTTGCAGTTCCTAGCTGGTGGTACATTCCAGTTTGTGGAACCACTACTTGAAAAAAAAAGAACTTACCTCATTCAATTGATCATAATAACAGGAAATCACGATTTTTATTTACCGAAAGCCAAGATAAAAGCTGATGCATTCGCGTTTTATTTATGAAGTTTACTTCATTTTCCTCTTTGCTGCAACTTATTTTTTGCCCATTTTTGCTCTAGTCATCATGTTACTCACTAGATAATCCACGTAGAAACAGTTCTCACCTAGAATTACTGTATCCTCAAAATATTGTGCACTGAAATAACGAAAGGAATACGAAGGGCAGGCAATGAAAGTTATTGATCGATTTCATAAGGGCTAATTTTCAGATACGTATATTTATTTCATCGTGGATTCCCAGCAATACGACGACAGACAAGAAATTACATTGAAAACGGTTTTCGCACTTCTTCATAATCATCGATAATAGCATTTTCCTCAAAACCCAGCAAGCATCGTGATCATTGAGAATCCTTGACAGAAGTATGCAGCATATTTTGGTAAATATGCTGATCCTGGTCATTTTCTCAAATCAGTCTTTAAAACATCTAATGCGGAAGTTTTAAACAACAAGATGAAATGGCTCACTTACCCTTGTTCTGAAAAGGATATTAAATTCTTTATTTTTTTGCTGATTTATTTTGTCCTAATCAACAGAAAATCGAGCAACATAAAAGATAAGAGGTTTAAAATGCAGTGCAGAAAAGAACTTCCCAGCATTCGCAGAAAAAAGAGACATTTTCTTCCATGCTTATATTGTCAAAAGAAAGCTAATGAATCATTTTTTACGCATTGACAAGAAATTATGTTTCTTCTGAACCTTATGGGAGTAAATTTTTTTCGTGTTGTAGGGACGGGCATTGATGCTAAGACAAATTAGTTAGCGCTACTCTAAATTTTCCAAAAATATGAAATTACAATGAAATTGAGAGCAAAAAATTAGAAAGGATGTAAGGCAAATAAGCCGAATTTTTCTTGAACAGCAGAAGGTTTCAAAACCGAAATAGCGCATTGAAAAAATGAATATAGCATAATTCTAAAAATCAATGAGACTTGTTCCCTTTTTATTAAATTGAGTACTCAATCATTTAGTGAGCTTCATCTATGTACCCTACAGTTAATTTTCTGTATCAGATGGATTGCTCGATATTTTGAAACACCCGGTCGATTGAAATTTTTATGTGGAGCAAAAAAATTGAATTTCTTATTGGAATCCCTTGAATGTTGTTTTGCAGAGAAATAAACTTATGACAACAATTCAAATATTTCTAATCCACGACTTGGAGAATTTTTTTATAATAAACTTGAAACAATAGCGATGTCTCTCATTTTGCGGTTGACTGCAATGGGTGTATTTCTATTGTGAAAAGCTGGAGTTTGCTGAAGGGAACAAATTGAACGGCACAAAAATCTCACGTTCAGTGGTCCCGGAAAAGTCAACGATCCTCGGCCTGGAACCAAGGCATAAATTGCTTCCGCAGTGTTTTCGAAGGCCTCAGTTTCAGTTCAGAAACTTCAGCTTCACACCGCAGTGATTGTGTGAATGGCGAATCCCAGATCCTGGGCAGATTAAAAACACAAGCCCTCGTATACATGCCGTCGGAACTCGCATTGTTTTTTTGAAATCGCTTCATCTTATTTTCATTAGCAAACGAGCGCCAACTCGAGTATAAAAACGTGGGGTCAACTCATTGCCATTCAAGGTTGTCTCATGTCCATGGGAAATACAGGAAGCAGTTAGAAATCGGGTGTATATAAAAAGCCGGGTGCTTTGCTTGCCAAACTCCGATTTAAACTTGAATCGTGGAAGGTATCGAGTCAAAGGATTTCTTTTTTCGTTCCGATTTTTTCTTTTTCAAATCCAAGTCTTGACGGTGCAAATTTTCAAGTCGAGGATATATATTTCGTCATGTCGATTTTGTTGGGCGTGTTTGTGTTGGCTGCGACGGCCTTTTGCGTGCAGGCGCAAGGATTTCGTCCCTCGAATGGCCCTCAATTCAGCAAGTGAGTTTTTCAAACGATGGAATTTCCTTTTTTTTATTTCATTTCCCACGCCTTTTTGGCTTTCGGTTGCAGACACATTAGCGATAAAACTTGCAATATTTGGCAATATTTCCGCGCTTCGGTGCCCTCGCGAAGTTGAAACGAGCTGAAGGTTGAGCGACTTTTCGGGTTTCGTAAACGCCGAGTTGGTCCATTACGACGAATTTGTGAAACGCAATCTGATGTGTGGTGAATGAATGAATCATCATATTTATTACCAAAATAAATAAAATAAAAGTTTTGTCATTGCTGCCTTGTTTAAAAAAAAAACATCCTTCGACAGAACGGATTTTAATTCTAAACCGATCTGAAATAATAAATTTGAGCTCGTCAATTTTTGGCATTATTCAGATTTATTTTCGCGAGTTTTAATTATATTTGTCTTCTGGGGTTTTACTTGCAGTGCTTTTATTTTTCGTTGGCATTTTTCGAAGTATTGTTCGTAACCCTGAGTTTCAAGAAGTTATTTGATCAAATACAGTAGTTATTTATCCTGACTTTGTTTTTTACGAAGAGCTTTGTGGGAGGCTATTAATCCTTCGTTTGATTAAACTTGTCGAAATAGCAACTTATTATGCATGCTATTTAAAATTTTGGGACACCTTGCTTTTTTTGATTTGACAGCCAAGGAGGAGACAAGTTTCCGGATTTCCCTTCCATGTGCAGAATGTTGAATGATCCAGCGATAGTAGACCAGTACGTGGATTGTGCATTGGATTTACCAGGTGCTTGCAATGGAATCCAGGGTTTGTCCGACATTCGCCAATATTTGCAAGGTGAGTAATTTCATGCGCGAAAAGAATTTATCGCTGAGAACTTGACACGCGTCGTTTTTATTTTCTCTTCGCTGCTAACTTTCGTCGCTGTCTCAGCTTTTTTTTTTTTAAAGAAATTTATAAGGAAGCTAATAATGAATTTGTGGGACAAACATCGGAAAAGAGAATTAAATTTACTTTACTTTTTCATATTAAAAATCTTTGCTCATCGATTTTCAAAATTTTTAAAACGTAGATAATTTACATGAAAGGATTTTCTCTAGAATTAAATAAAGATTCTGAAGTTTTTCTCCACTCGGTGTTTTATTTGAACGTAAAACTCCACTTGAGAAAAAAACTTACAACGTAGCTCCTCTGCAACATCATTTTCAACGAGAATTAATGTTTGTTAACTTAAGTGCCAAAAAAAATTGTACGAGTTCTGCTATATTTGTATAGAACGTACACGCGATGACGCGATAAATTACTGTACAGTATTTAGATGTACAGTAGATTTTATGTTGTACAGCTGTTTGATGGAAAACATCACCCTCGTTCACAGCATATCCAGCTTTCGTTGAGCATGATACTCTACTTTAAGCTGCCATTTCAAAAATTTTAGATAAGTAAAAAACGCGTTAAAATCTTGAAAGTTGTGTGAATTGAATCAAGCAAAACTAATCGTAAGCATGCAAAATCAGAGAGTGGTACTTGTGGCATTCATTTTAAAATGAGACCTATTCAATTAAAAATAAGACCCTCTTTAAAAACACGACTTATTTCGATAAGAAAAGCCCACAATATGCTTGAAATACAGCACCTTCTTTAAAAAGACCTGATTTAAAAATATCTGCTTCAAAAATAAGACTTATTTTAAAACGGATTATTCTAAAATAAGACCTGATCGACTCTATAACCCATTCCCAAATTTCTCTGTTGATGACCTTTTAATACGACTACTCTTTCCAATTTCCACGATTTTCATCAAACATTTTGTATTTGGTAGAGAAAAAAACATCACCTCTCAAACGGATTCTTTTGAGTCAATGAAAGTGCTCATCTTTATTTTACACAGAAAATGCTGCAAATTCCGTGGTACAGTATAGTACATACACATTTTATTCCGTATAGAGAATAAAACAGCACCTTTCAAACGGATGGTTTTGAATCAATGAAAGTTCTCTTCTTTATTTTACTCAGAAAATGCGGCAAATTTCGTGGTGTACTTTGGGTATTTGAAGCCTATAGTAAATTTTTTTTGGGGAGGGGACGAAAAATCAAATCCATTTCACGCAGAATCGAATAATTTCGGTCTCAATTTTAATAAACTTGTTCTTTTGCTCCATTTGAAAAAAAAAATGAAAAACGCAGTCGCATTGCCGGCGGCACTCGGAAAAGGCAGGTGCTCCTTCTGTTCTCCGAACGACACGCTCAAGATCAACTTCCTTGCCCGGGAGCTACGCACCCGATTCAAGCCGGAAACCGGAAAGTTGCTGCGTCACTTCAGCAAGCAAATCGCCGCCAACGGCGGTCTTCGAGCCCAAACCGCCGCCGACACCGCCGGTGCGCCGCCCAACTGCGCCGCAGTGCTCGGCTAAGGAACTGTTGACGACAATGATTGAAAAACAGCCGCCGTTTTTTCACCTTTTTTTTTTATGTGCGACCTAGACAATCACAAGGGTTACGCAATACAGTAATTTCATTTCTCGTGGAAAAGGAATCATAACAGCAGCAGTTGAGATTTGTTTTTCATCTTGAGGGCGTACGATTGCATTGGTGAATTCGTTTTTATGGACAATCGTTCGACTGATTAGCAATTTTGACCGAGGAAAATGGGAAATTTGTTGAGGAATAACAGCTTTTTTATATGGAGACGCATCCGGAATTCCTGACTCATGTGCAATTGCATGATCAGATTGGAAGATTCTTAATTTTTTTCCGAACAATATTGGGAAAACATCCAGCAGCTAAATCCAGCAGCTAAACTCCCGGATAGTTGGCTTTGCTTGGAATAAAAAAGTTTGAATGTATGGAATTGTGCGGAAGAAAAATACAGTTGCTTTTTCCAAAGTGTCTGAATGTTTTCTGCGAAGGTTTCTGCTTAGCTAGTCAATCAAATGCTATATATTTGCATTGAAGCGTTCCTTCGATTGAACTGCAGTATAGCTGCTATTTTTATGCAGTTCAGCAAAACAGCATAATTGTGAACCTTCTAATTTTTTCTTTTCACTCTAGCGAAGCAGTCTTGCTAATTTTCAAAGATTTCTCTCTGGATCCCTTCGACGTGCACTGCAATATGCAAAAAGCAAGGTTACATCATTTTATGATACAAAAATTATCTTTCTGTGTGGGAAATGAATGATAAGGTGAATGTTTTTGTTATCATACGCTTCTTTTTTTTTTTTACCTCGGCCGAAGCAATTGCAGTCAGCAGAACCACGTCTTGGGCCATGAACATCATTGCAGGCTAGCACTCCAACATGACAAAATCACAGAAATCACAACCAGTTTTCAAAAAAGTCCCAGCATGTAGATATCCCTGAACTGCAGCCAGCAAGGAAATGTGCATTGTGAATATTCTCTCAAATAAGCTGTAATATATACGAGTATAAGCTGTTCTCTCAAGTAACTCCATTGGCAACCATGGCTAATCAGCACAATCTTGTTAAGTACTACTGCATACTGCACAAATCATGAGATCATGCAACAAAACAAAAAAGCCACTGATTTCACCTAATGTACTAAGGGGTTTACATATACAGGTGGTACGTTGCAATTTAACCCTATTAATTTTGTTGCTGACCTAGGCTTGAATTGCAAGACACTCCCTGATATTCAAAAATTCAACCGCGCAAAAATTCAAAAAATGGTCTGAGCTGTTTGAATTGTGGGGCATGCAAGGGTCAAATTGCAAGTCAACCTCCCTGCAAAGTTGACCATTAAATTTTGGGATGGTCAAATTGAGGGGTACAACTATCCAAGATTGTGCTATAGGGTCAAATTGCAAGGTACTACCTCTATACAGATGAACCTGTATAACTCAAAGCTCCCTCTGTCAAATTCTGTTGAAGCCCATCACCAAATTCCTTAAGAAATAATTAGTTGATTCATTGAAAACCTCCCTAACTCAAAGGTTTTTGCTCTCAAGCCTTCACAACTCAAATTTTAGTCAAGCTTATTGTTGGCTATTATTTTCTTGACAGAATAAAGAAAAAACAATAAAATGTAAAAAGGAGTTTTGTAAGAAAGTGCAAGAGTAAATTTTAAAAATGAGCGCATGATTTCTAGTTCACTAGCCTGCCGAAGTTCCAATTCATTCAAGAAGCCCTTTAAAGCCCAGAGTATCACAATTTTCCTCGAATTTATTGAGCTTTCCCCCAATAAAAAGGCTGGATTCCCTAACTCAAACTCTCCACAAATCAACGTTTGTTGATGATCCCTCGAAGTTTGACTTTGAAGATATAACTAGCTGTAAATTTTAATATATATCAGACATCAAAGAATCCCCTGAGCAATTTTCAAGATTTGAAAAAGCGCCGCAATTCGTCAAAGATATTTTATACAGCTTTGGATGATGGAAAGTCGAATTTGAAAGCTGTGGTTCCTGTACAATGCTTCAAATCAGAAAAAAATATAATTTCTCTTGGTCCTCAAAATGGAATGGATTAATTTTTTTAGCTTGTCCAGCCGCCTTTGAAAAAAAAAATAGGATGAGTCATTATATTTTTCTGAAGAATGACTTCCCTCTAATTTCATCCTGCCTATTTTTTCCAAAAACTATTTAAATTACAGACAAACTTTAATTTTTCGTAAAGATGAAACCCATGATCCGATCATAATTTCGAAAAAAAAATGCATTCAAGAAACAATCACCCCGAAGCTTGCCGATTTCGATTTAATCTCAGCTCCTGAAGCGGCCTGAGTATTGGTGATGGCGCCTATCGCGATGACAGGGACCTGGTGCGTGTGCACCACAAAGCAGCATCATAGCATCAGCTCCGGTGACGCAATGGTCCCCCGGTTGCACCACCGCGGAAAGATCGGCGGCCGATGATGATGATTATGACACGCTGCATTTGTAGGAGCCTTGCGAAGCGCGCGGGGGAGGGGGGAAGGCATTTGCATGGGTTGCAACCGCATCTCAGCCGGAAATCGCACCGTTCTGTTACGTGGCTTTCCTACTCGTATATGCAGTATAGAGTCTTCAAGTGAAGTTCCCTGCTGCAGAACGACTGCTGCAGTGGTTTTTTTTCCTTTTCTTCCAATCAAAAGCTTATAAATTCAGCAGTTGAACCTTTATACTTATCGGCCGAATTTGAAAGGTCTCCAAAGAATTTTACTTTCGTCATGCGTTTTTTTTTTCTACTTGTGTATGGCATGGCCTGATTATCATAGGCTATTCAAATAAAATGATTGTCTGGCATGATTACTGAAGGTACGTGTCCAGTCAGCTGCTGGTCTGTCAATTCACGGTTGCGCACCTGCTGGTTGTCAAGTGCCGGTTGGTCCAACCGCCAGCCAGGGCATTTCTTGGACTTGCCAATCCCCAGCCCACCAAACTGTGGTTTGGTCACTCAATTGTCTGGGCACCCAAACAATCAGGTGACAAGAATCATGCTGATTTTTTTTCAGAATTCAGTGAGCAGAATGGTATCCTACCATAGATTTTTTTTTCAAAATTTCAGCAATGTTAGGTTAGATTAGGTCAGTTTATGTTATGTTAGTTTAGGTTAGGTTAGGATAGGATAGGATAGGTTTAGGTTAAGTTAGGTTGGGTTTGATGAGTTTTTTCTTTTTGTAAAAATTTTTATAAGATGAAATTTTGAAAAAAAAAATCTGTGGTAGGATACCACTCTGTCACCAAATTCTAGAAAGAATCAGCATGATTCTTGTCACCCAATTGTTTGGGTGCACCAAAAATTGGGTGACCGGACCGCAGTTTGGTGGACTGGGGATTGGCAAGGCCAAGGACTGCCCTGGCTGGTGGTTAGACCAACTGGCGATTGATGACTGGCAGGTGCATGACCGTGAATTGACCAACTGGCAGATGACCTGGTACCCTGAAAGTATAATGTCTGTTGGCCCATTTCCAAAATCCCTTGTAGAAAGCATTAAAATAGTAATTTGCACAAGTTTTCCCAACAGATGAAATAAAATGTATCCCAAAATGGCCAGTTTAATTACACAAAGGTCATGCACAATTTTACTAATTAAGCTTATGGGTTAGAATTCGCAAGGTTAGAATTCATATTGGTATTTGGGAATCAGCCTTCAATTCACACAAAATTGCAATTGCGGAGGTTTTTGATGTGGGAAAAGTTCAACTTGGAGAATTTAAACTGTATTTGAACAATGCTTCTCTATGATGGATGAACTCAGTTTTTCCAGCAATATCAGCGCTAAATCCACTTCAACGTGAGCAGCTGTTTCCCTTTATTTTAGTGTTGCTTTCTTTGAATACTGTGTGATATAGCATGAATGTATAATTCCCCTCTCAAACATGTTTCTGTTTCTTGCCAGTTAGCATGGCTGAAGAAAACATGTTGATCTTGGTCCTTTCAGAGATTTTGTGCTTACAAATGTGGAAATTTTAGTATTTTCAGCATGTTTATGGCATTCTCTGGAAAAACAATTATGAAAAGGTCTAACCAGTTGGAAATTAGGGCGCGTTGCACCAAAATATTGCGTCTATTTGATCAGTTATGCATTATTTAAATTTTTAAAACGTTATAGCTATCCTTGAGCAGCAAAGCCGCCAATTGGCTTTTTGATTTTCAGGTCTTTTTTTTTCGAGGAAAACCAAATAATGTAAGTGTGCGTCAGTAAAGGAAGAAAAAATCTAATAAAATTTCAGCTGCACTAATAACTATGCATTTTCCTATATCTCTTCGTCCTTTTTAGGACGCATGAAAGCAGGATTTAATGCGGAATACTAATTCGTTTCAAATAGCGCTCTGATGCGAAGTTCTAAGAAGCATGAATTGTAAGAACGTATTTCGTAATTGAGGTATTTAAGTGTGCCCCTTCCTTGTGTTTTGAGCATTCGAAAAATCACAGTATCTATCCTTGCCAGAAGGTATTTTATAAATAAAGCCATGGCTGAAATACTGTACCCTCTGCGGTCTGCGCATATTTATCTCCTAGCTTATCGGATAGGAAAGAAAGAACCTTTTACCGCAAAAAAAAAACGACGAAGAGAAATCACTTGATGCATTATTCCTTCAGCTTGGAAACTTTGCTTGAATATTGGATCAAATTGAAGAAAAATGAATAAGAGATTAAAAGTGAGCAGACGAAGAACAAATGTAGGATACATTTTGATCAAAAGCAGCAATTGGCTTCAGGTTTTTTTTTTTTTTTTTTTACTGCAAAACCAGTTTTTCAACTTTCTTGGGCTTATTGCGCAAGTTGTTTTGCTTCAGGCAAAATGGCAGCCAAATACGGGTTTGTTATCCAATTTGATTGTAGCTTGTGGTGTTCATTGCTTAGGGCCAGCAATGGATATTATCATTTAAAACAAGAAAAGCCTGCAATGCAATGTTGTGTTGATGAATTCACGCTTGAAATAGACCCTGTCGATTTTGGCAGGCTCTTGGATTTTAGCAGATCTAGTCTGTGAAGATCCAAGCGCAGCATTACCTTTGAATATCAGTGGATAAATACAGGGTAGGCCTCATTGAGGACCAGCACTGAAGGATGAGCATGTCTCGTGAGTCAGATCGCGTCCGGCCCACGGGGAACGGAAGTTGTCAGCGTCACGAACTCGGTGTCGAAACTTGCTTCTCTCAAAACTTCCCCGGTCACACATCACAAAATACAAAGCGACATTGTTTGCTGCATTTGCAAAACAAGAAAAAAAAGGAAGAATTTTCACAAAGGTCCCTCATCTGCTTGTTTTCTTCATTTTTTAATTGGAAACTGTGCTCTTACAGAGCTTTCATAAGCTATTGCATAAATCTTTCCTTGAAAAATGTTGACATTTTCCTTCTGATATTCATCAGAGGCCTCGAAAAATAACGTTGCAATGATGGCGTGTTTCCAAAAAACTTGTTATCTTTTTGAAGTACGTATAG